ACTCTTTCCACAACTCACCAAACCCTTTGAGGGTCACAGGCTCCTGTCAAACAAATGTCCATATGGTCACAGCAGACAATGAAGTACAAAAGATGACTGACACACAGGGATTTGCAGAGAGGAGCTTGGCCTGAGAAGTGATAGCCAGCCTGAGTGCTCTGCTTCATTAGGGCAAAGTGTAGCCAAAGAGGAAACAGGAGCAGTGTAAGCCTCCTGTGTCCCAAAATAAACATTACAAATGGGTTTTAGGTGGTGTTAAAACATACCCCTTTGATTTTCTAGGGCCAGGATCTCCCCATAATGTACTTCTACCTCTTTAACTGAACTTCAGATTTAAGATAGGTTTGGTGCCACTAGATAGAACTTGATTTGAAAAACAGTTTTTTGTTAGTTAGTTGGAAGTTTAAATATTATAGTAATACACCTTGTCCCTCATATTAAACTACCTCTAAAATAAAACCACGGAAAACTCAACAAGCATGTCCCTACCACCTGCAGCACATTGTTTGCAGTCAGAGCTCAAACAGGAAGAGAAAACAGCTCCTCTGCTAAATCAATATTTAACTAACAAGCTGCCCCACACAGACAGGTAAATATCACACAACTGACTAATAAAAAAGCTCAGCTCTCTGCTATCAGACCTGGACTTATTAGAACCTGACCTCAGATCACCTTTGACAGACTTTTTTATTAACAGGGCTGCAAACCACAGGTACATTAACATCAACCACGTGGTGGTCATGAATTACCTGGAACTCCACTTGTAGCTCTGTAACTGCAACCCAGAAGAGGCAGCAGCCTCAGTGTGAGTCTTGCTCCCCACCACAGCTCTTGAGAGTTTTGATTAACAAAATATTCCAGAAGACAAACAAATTTCAGCTGAATTTTTCTCACTCAAGGACAAGGAAGCAGGAGATCGGGGCTCTGTCCATCAGTCCCCCTTCCAGGGGACTTCCAGGCAAAGTAGTCTGAGCAACTGCAGCAATCCCCCAAAGGAAATGGAGTAGCTTTCCAGACATTTTCCTCCTCATCTCTGTTCCTGAACAATACCAGAGACATGAGATTATACACCCCACTGTGGTCTTTTACCCTCCCTAATGAAACCCTGAATGTTCAAATACCTGTAGGATCAGCTTTGTCTTATCTCATAGCATACTGTTCCCAGGTTAATTTTTGCCTAACAAATTATAGGGTTTCCTGCACAGCTCTGAAAAAGTCAAACAGAATGAAAATAGTTAACTCATTGTATAGGAGGCCATTTCTAAACTAAAGTGTAACACCAGCCTTCCCTCCACCCCAAATAATCATCCTTCAACTATTGCTAGCTCCATAATTTGAGATACAAACTAATTTAAAAGGACATTTTTACCGTTAAAAAACCCTCTGACTTTGGATGGGGAGGAAGGTGAAGGGGTTAAGATCCGGCAGCAGAAATACCAGATGCGTCTGGCTTATCAGATTTATAGATTTATTCTGTAAAAACCCTGGATATCTTCTGTTGGGGACATTTTCCTCTATTTTTAGAACACATCTGAATAGCTGCAAGTACATTTCTTGCTTGGTGCACTAATAAACATCCACAGGAGTTATGCATTTGGGAAAGACAGATCTAAAGATCTGAATGTTTCTGAGGATGTAGGTCCCAGCAGCTTAAGCCAGCCCAAGGTCATACTGCCACCCCCTCCATTCTACATCCCACACGACCCTTTAATCATCTCTTGCACACTCCTGCAATAAGCCAGTTTAGGAAGCTGAAAAGCAGTAAGAAGCAATTCAGTGTGATGGCTGGTTCAGCCACACAGCCCAAGCAGCACTTGGACAACTCTGTTTAAACAAACAGCAATGGATTAAAACTCTATGGATGGGCCTTGTCCATTTCTGAACTCACCTTAAGTGTATTATATCCTTAGCATTCCATTGCAAAGAGTTCAACAGACCTAATGATCCATTTCTACTTTTCTCTGGGGACCACACACTACAATTCTTGGTTGCTACCCAGTCCCACATGGGACCATCACTGGCCTCAAAATACCAGAAAACCCCACACTTGTGTATCATTATTTGTTTGCATTTGTTTTCGGTGCAAGCCTGGGAATGGTTTCTGTAGAGCACCTGCAGCTGTTTTCTTTACCTGGGAAGCAGAGGTCACACCTGAAGGAAGTCCATACACTTCAAGGACATCAGCTCACTGAACTGAACTGCTGGCTCTGCCCTCTGCATTTAACCTCTTCTAGCAGTGTAAAAGCCCCTGCAGAACAGGAACTGCTCCTGATGTCAAACAGTTACACCAGGAAGACAACAACACAGGCTAGAACAGTAAGAGCAGTTCCCAGCTGTGCCCATAGGGTTCGATAGCAGCTCTACCCTGCAAAGCCCACACAGCCCAAGGCTGCTCTTTTACATAAAAAAACGTTCATTATTATTTTGCTAGAAGCCAGTTGTTTTAAATTTAGTGGTTCTAGATTAATTGCCACATTAATCTTTTTCCTTAAGGATCAGTAGCAATCCTAAGAAGGATGCAGCTTGACCAAATTATATAAAATACAATATCAGTAAGAATACACATAAGGAACAACACACAACAAAAACATCACTTGAGAACTGTCTCATTAAAAGACAATTTCTAAGATACTAAACATGTTCTACAGGTTTAACTAGATTAAGAGCAAATGTCATTTCAGTAATAGCAATACTTTACTGTATTTTAATTAACTGGATTAACATTAATACGATTTATCAAGTAATTAATTTTTCCTGTTGCAAGGTTAAAATATTAGAGCTGAGAGAGCAGTGCACTGCTGCATTTACAAAACCTTCCTGTAGAAAAATCCTACACTTACTCAAAATGAGTTCATTTGCATAACTTACGCTACTATGAACAGCAAAAGCTTTACATACCATTTATTAAATAACTTTAAATGCAAACATCCTTCAACTATTGCTAATAGATCTACACACCCAGTC